TCTCTCGGACAGAAGTGGCCGGCGCTGGGCGGCTACGTTCCCGTCTACAGCGCCATTGTAGGGCATCGACGCTCCACTGCTAAGTCAACACTGCCTTCGGCGAGACGTGCGCTGGACGCATGCGATCATAACTGAGTGCATGATGGTCGCTTGGCGTGTTGCGTGTCTTTATTGCAGACGGAGAAAAAACTCCCAGTGATCGCAACCCTCCGGTTTCAATGCCGTGAAATTCTAAGTGGCTGAAGTGGTACCCTTCTACAACTGCGGAGCTGCCCATCTCGCCCATGGATAGATACAAAGAGTCCTTCGAGCTGGAATTTTCTCGTCAAAGTTAGCTGAGTTATTACAGCCACGACAGAATCGTCATCTACTATACAGAGTTCCACTACTTCTCCACTATCCAGTACTGCAGCGCTCTCCTTGATGCCATCCAGGTCACCAACTACAGATTGCTCCGGCGTGGTGTGCCCAATTGGCAGTACCTGTCAAGTTCTTGGAGGCATTCCCCAATGTGGCTTTACGAGTGAGTTCTACCGATTTTATTCTGGATATGTTGCTCTTAGTGCAGCTTCTGCACTTGGAAAATCCACGCAGGGCTTTTATTTTATAACAGATTGGGATTATAAGTTACCTATCATTCAACAAAAAAATGCTCAGCTGCCAATCTAGGCCATCTTCGATTACATTAGATAGGCTACATCAGGGCCTGTTCATAGACAGCGCCGTTGAAAAATAGTAGAGTACACGGGAAGATCGAAAAACTGGAAATTGGAAACCTGGATAATCCTCTGAGTGATCTGAACCGAAAATGATCGCTTGATCTCGCCCGCTGCGCGTGCTGGGGAAATCGGAGAACCGAAGAGATGAAAATTTGAAGAATCAGAGAATTGGCGGGAAGGGTAGGAAGCGTTTTTGCAAACCCGCCCGTGTGAAAAATCGACGAAAATACGAAGAAACCCATATGAATTCCATTTCGTGGATTCTCCTATTCCACTCTTCCCAACATTGAGCTGGCTGTGAACATGGCCTTAGCTGGTGCTCGGGTATTTCTCCTCGAGATTCATTGTTTCTTTGCAGCTGCGGAACAATCGTCATCTCCCGCTCCGGATATCACTACTCCTTCGTCTTCAACCAGTACTCTAGCGTCATCTCCTACATCTCCCAGCGCATCTGCAACTTCACTTTGTTCCGGAGTGGTATGCCCTGTTGGCACCACCTGTCGCGTTCTTAACGGCACTCCACAGTGTGGTTTCACAGGTTAGTTCGGTTTATTTGTATCATATAAGAGTCGTCAGTGAAGAGAAAACGCGAAAGGGACGTCGGATACGTCCCTGTTAAGACCCTTCTAGCCTCATGAAACCTAAAAGTGAGCTGGTTGGACTCCTCCGTTCAACTAGCCGATTCTCTTATAATGAACTCTAACCTATCAAGGGAAGGATACCAACTCGTCCTGGCCATTCAGAATGAGATGTATACTCCTAGGAGCGTCTCCGGATGCTGATATCAGATCTGACTTCCAAATCTGCTAAACGATTCTGGGTGGAGAGTTACGGACCTTTTTTGCTACCGTGCTTAACCATTGCGGTGCGACCCCCTGCCCATGCTTTGCGCTCGTAAACCCTCGTGACCCAGCTGCCGCCGTGGCTCGATGGCGCAGCAGGTAAGTGGATGGCTTCATAGTGAGACGGAGGTTCAAATCCTTGATGCATTTCGTAGTTTTGCTTTTTCTTGAAACGCATGCTAAACACTTGGGAAGTAGTTTTGCGTACCTGTCCGACCACCAAGACCCCTCCCTGCTTCTTATTAGGGCCTATGTGCGACTTTTCAGGGGTTTTATTTTAACTTCAGTGAAAGCGTTCATTTTGATGGTGTTGGCGTGACAGCTTCAGGCATATATTTTCGTATTTAATGGGAAACATCAAAGGCTTGGTCCACGATCAGGAATAAAGTTGGAAATATGGTGTCGCGAGGGTAGTGGTCCGCAAGGAACAACCTTGTACTGGTTTACGGCGAAAAAATTGTTAGGGAGGGGTGCTATAACGCAATATAGCTCCAAAGAGGACACTCCTTTACCAGTGGCTCGGTCTCCAGACTCCGCCTTCAAAGCCCATCATCCAATGAAAAACGAAGCTGCAGGACGAAAAAGCATGAAAATCGTAAGCTCACTTGTAAGGTCGTAGAGTTCTTATAGTGAATAAGCTGTGTGGATGAGGGCGTAGTGTAGGAGATGGAGCTCACTGGGCACGTACAAAGTGGCTTGAAATGGGGTTCTATCTAATTGTAAGGCGGGTGACGAGTTTTTTCTGCCTTTTTTCATTACCGAGTTACACAGCTCTAGTCTATGCGAACCCCTAATGCACTATCTGTGATTGCGATTTATCGCAGGTTGTGCCTTTAAGCGAGCACAGTGTGATATCCCAATACAAAATGGTTAGAGCAAAAAAGTTCTTCACAGTGTGAGCTGCGAATAAAAAGAATTTCGCTGCAACCATTATTCTCACAGATTCCCTCCAGATGATATGTAATGCAATATTGGAGAGAACTCTCGAACTCGTCTGGATGAGTGTCAAGGTAACCTGCTGAATACCAGGATTAAGAAAGAAATTGTTCAAATCTAGATGCTCTGAAGGGATTCATCGTTATCTTCAGATGCCCAGAAAGGATCCGTATGTTCGTCCTCCACGAAGCTATCTCCCTCGCAGTCGATTATACGGTTGTAGTACAGTGCGTCGCGCACAATAGGATAGAAACTCTCTGCAATCTTCTTTTCTTTGCGGGATAGTGATCAAACAATATCGCAAGACCCGAATTCTTTCACTAGGTGTGATAGCACCAGAGTCCGGCAGAACATTTCCAACTATGGTGGACAGGTCGCAAAGATGTTGGCTGATATTGTGGCGTGAGTGAAGAGAGCTACCAGAGATGACGAATTCTTTCGTTGGCCACACACGTTGTCATCCTATAGGATGATGAAATCTCGCAGTTCACGAGCTCCAAGCAGATATGCATGTGTATTTGGTCCCTTGCTTGAGCTAGTTAGGCAAAAGTGTAAGTTTCCACGAAAATCGTTCGCGGGGCTCAATAAGTAGCAGGGAGGGGGTCTTGGTGGTCGGACAGGTACGCAAAACTACTTCCCAAGTGTTTAGCATGCGTTTCAAGAAAAAGCAAAACTACGAAATGCATCAAGGATTTGAACCTCCGTCTCACTACTATGAAGCCATCCACTTACCTGCTGCGCCATCGAGCCACGGCGGCAGCTGGGTCACGAGGGTTTACGAGCGCAAAGCATGGGCAGGGGGTCGCACCGCAATGGTTAAGCACGGTAGCAAAAAAGGTCCGTAACTCTCCACCCAGAATCGTTTAGCAGATTTGGAAGTCAGATCTGATATCAGCATCCGGAGACGCTCCTAGGAGTATACATCTCATTCTGAATGGCCAGGACGAGTTGGTATCCTTCCCTTGTAAGACAAAATTGGTGCTTTCAATTTCACGTACATGCTCAGTAAGCTGTTTGTCGTTGGGAGGAGCCGTTGAAGGCGGAGTCTAGGGGCGGGGTCAAGAGGGCTGCCACTGGGGCAACCTTGCGCCTTAGCGCCCTTACTTTATAACTTTGCGCCGCGAAATTGGTACAAGGTTATTCAACTGTGGATAACCTTGTACCAGTTTCGCAGCTACACTGCCTTTCCTAGTAATCTTTAAATACCCTCAGACCATCGTTGAAGCCAACCGTTCCTTAACCACGAGCAAGTTAACGCTAGCCAAATCTCGACGGCTTCTTTCTTTGATGCGCGTTTGAAGAACAGAGAGGGTTGGAGTAACTATAGAAGTCTTGAGAGTCCATTAACAGCTTAAGGCAGTCTAGAAATAAAGAAAACAAGAGCTTCAAAAATTATTTCTTGTTTATTTTTCCATGTAATTTCTTCTCTACCTGGTTTTTGTGTTTTCAACACTCATGCTACCTCCCCTCCTTCGCTGACGAGTACGGGAACAGGTGACCCTTCATTTTTTTTACTCTTTATTGCGGAACGGCCGCTTGTCTCTCTGTCCAGCCCCTCTTTTCGTTGTTCTATAGTTCATATTTTCGCAATAGGCGGTTTTGAGATGGAATGAGCCCATGCGCGACATTTCCACCACTAATTGTTTCCTTTTTGAATCGATCGCTCACCGATTGCCAGCGGTAGAGCAAGACAGCCGGAGGAAGGCTAATCCCGCCCCTCCTGATACCGCCCGACTGATTACGGCGTTATCAATGATGCCTCGTTACATACTTCTCATCATTCATCTATATGTGATTTAGATGAGTTCACGATACGCCGCGCACCGGTCAAGGACCACTGTGCTAATGTGAATTGTCCATTGGGTACGGTCTGTCAAATGGTCAACATTGGACCTCAACTTCAGCGGCTGTGCGTTCCGAAACCACCAAGACTGTCACGATGTCCTGCAAACGAGTCCTGGCGGAATTGCGCGACGCTCTGTGAACGAACGTGTGAACAACCAAATCCGGTACGTGACAGCTAGCTTTCAAGCCAATCTGAGAAGCTCCAGTCCATGTCCGTCCCGATGGTGTTCGGGTTTGTCAAAACCACTTCTCGGTTGATTTACAGTCTTGTACGCTGCGGATGATGAAGCACTTCAGGGGACGAGAAAGACTGGGTTTGGCGTGGTGCCAGCCTGTCCACATTGATTGTGAGACTTGGCAGGCGACCACCATTGGTGGAAAACTGGCCTGCCAGCTTGTGGTCGCCTGCCAGCTGGATGAAAGTCCGTTAACAGCGCCAAACCCATCATCCCCCCCCCCTCACCAAAACGACCAGCCTCTGCAGCGAACAGGCATAAGACTATTCGGGCCAAGTATTGATTGATTTAGGAGTGCTCATCAAAGTGCGGAACTCCGCGATGTCAGTGCGACCCAGGTTTCTTCAGGAATCGTTCAGGAATTTGCAAGCCGCTATCACAATGTTGAATTGAAGATAAGATGGAGCTAATAAATTGTTTTAATAAATTTTATGTATACGTTCTTCTGATGCAATGACTTCGAAAATCTTTGTAAACAGTGAGCTATCGAGCTGAATTACTCTTTTGCTGGTATTCTTTCAAAAATCGAGAGTTCGTTGGTGTTAGGTGAATAGGAGAGCTGACTTTCTGAGCAGAAGCGCCTGACGCTCGAGCTGCAGGTGTTGGCGCCAAGGTAGGTCTGCGGCGCTGAGGTCTTTATTGCGGACACCAAGCGTTTGGCGCCAAACTGTGTTATGTTCATGATGATTAGCAGGTCAAATCAGCGACAAGCTTCTTTCAAATGTGCTCCACCGGATCACGGTGACGCATCTTCTCGAGGATCTTATTAGGGTGTGGTTGTTTTGTCGCTGATAAAGGGAGTCGTATTTGGCCTTGAGTTCCTTCCCAACTCGAGGGAAAGTTTCCTGGTTTCTGATTTTCCTTCTGTCCACGCGCTGTATTTTCTATGCTTGATGAAGCTTCTGTGGAGAAAGTGGTGAGTTTTGAAGTTCTGGAATATTGGTTGGAACAGTCTTGTAAGGGATGAGGCTGGTGTTGAGAGGGAGTCGTAGTAGAAGGTTGGTGAGGGGTCTCGAAGAAGAAATTTGGGGTAGGGGAGAGGGCGAAGGGTCGCACAGATACCGAAACTTCACTAGTCGCGATGCTGTACACAACCTCTAGTGCGTCTAGTTTCATGTAAGCACGATTCATTTCATTCCATGGGACTTCCAATGAAACTGTTAAGATGAATGTTCATTGAACCGTCTACCTTACAGCACGACTAAGCACAGTTGCGTATTTCTCCCATTTTTGACAGAAAATCAACTAATAAAGGACTTTCGTTTGGGAACTATTCAGAGGGAATCTTCAGTGGATTGTTATTTCAGGAACTGTATACCTAAAGTGCTCCGAAGCGAGCATCACGAGCTACAGAATATGGTTTTTCCAGAAGTTTTCTGAGCGACTGCGGACAGAGACAGGAGTCGTTGGATGGCAAAGTTAGTGTGCGCGCCGTTATCACGGGAACGTCGCGGGTTCGAGTCCGCTCGCGATTATTCGGTACTGATGATGCTGACGAAAGTCAGTTCTGCTACTGAGTGTAGGTGAGGACATCATACCAAGTTCTGAAGTACCTGTTTGCTGAATGAACTTTAGAATAGTGCAGCATAGTTCGAATTCTTCCAGTCATATCGACGCTCGAGGTGCTGTTGAAACGTCAATTCCTTTACATTGTTACCCACTTAGATTTATTAGCTAAATGGTATCCATTTTAATGAAACTCACCTCCTGTAACTCCTGAACAAGGGATGGTCGTTCAGGCTGCAGGAGCTTTTTCAAAATGGTCTTGTGCATATTGTAGGGGCACATACGAGGACGACACCAAAAAACTGAGGTTCATTTTCGCTGCGCGCTTCTACGAATAAAAAAAACGTAAAAAATAGGTCGATGGTTCGGATCCCACCGAGGACAAAATTTTGCTTTTCTACAATTTTTCATTTTTTGGATCCATGTTTGTCTAAATAATTGGTCCTAACAAAAACATTCACGATAAACTGAACAATCCTACTTTTATGGAGCAAAACTGCTTTTTCGTTCGAATTCGTTTGTATGCACAGACTCAGCTCTTCGGCGCTATGCCGGTGCCAAATGGCACTGGAACCGAAAATGAAGTCTAGAATCGTGATCAGGACTGTCGATTACCCCCAGGAGCAAGTTTTGAGCGAAAAGTTTTTTTTGACTTTTTCGGTTGTAGTTGACGACCATTTGGTCGTGCAGTTTGAGCGAAGTCTCACATACTTCTCTACCAGCGATCGAAGTATCGTTTGACGCTAGACCCCGGACAGCGCCAATTAATACAAACCCGAGAAGGTCAAAACATTGTTTTTGAACAGAGAAAATTCGCCTTTCAGTCAGGTAATCAGATCACAAAATATAACACCTGTTGGCGTCCACGCAATTTGGCGACAGAATAGCGCTGAACGTTCCCTATATTGGTGTACATAACGAATTCAGTGGAAAGAAGATGTGGCCCCAAATTGTCTATAATTGACACCACACCAGAAGTTACTAAATTCGCAATCAGATCCACTGTCTGGCCTATGAGGATCAATGTCCAGCAATAATCTCGTTCAATGGTGCGTGAAAATCGAAATAGTTGAATAGCACTGACTCATGAGGTACAGCTACTCAGAATGTGCCCATAAATGGCAAATATTCGAGTTATATTCATGCGCGGACACTAATGGAAGCGAGAACAGCGAAATCTGGAAAATGCAAAAAGCCGCGACGCAAGGGGAGCCGAACCATCAACCCCACGCCTCACATGACGCCGATTGCGAAAGCTCCACTCCCATCCAACTAGGCATCGCAATGCTCGACATCGTGTTTGGCGGCTCTATCGTTGATGAAAACCATTGCAAGAAGCCGTTCACCCTTGAGCACATGACCCAAGTTGGAAGCTCACTTGCGGCGATTTTTCGCTTCGATTCAAATAGCCCCTTTATAAGGACCCCCACTCAGCAACTGGTCAAAGTTGCAAGTGACCTACGCCGTAAAGAGGCCCAGAACGAAGCAGATTCCAAAGAACTCGTTTTTTACCGTTCCTGGAAGCGCGCAGCGAAAATGAAGCACACTTTTCAGGTCCTTGCATGAGCCCCTACAATATGCAAAAAACCGTTTTCGAAAAGCGCACCACGCCCTGAACGACCTCCCTTGTGAGAAACCCGTCGCTGATTGATTTAGGGGGGAGGGGGCATTTTTCACCTTTCTAGTTTCTTTCGTCAGTTCCTGGTCAATTACACGTCCTGTGTCTTGTTGAGTCTGGACAATTTTCTTGCTTTTATATAGCTTCACAGGAATTTACATCTCTCCTCAGTAGGCATCGGCAGTGATCGATGAGAACCACCAAGATGCCCCCACAAAGCCGAACTGCGCCCAAATCGAGATGGCAATGGCCCTATTGCAAAAGAATCAAGAATTAATGTACTCTTCCTCGGCTTATCAAGAGAAAGCCAGACGGAAAAAAACGCCCTCAGCGCTAGGGAAAGCGGGTGCATCTGCTTGACCTTGGCGCCTATTTGAGTCCATCAAATTCTATGTACTAAAGCGAAAGTGTCATTTCAAATTTTTGTCTCACGGGAGGATCCTGATCCAAATCGAGCTACGAGATTTTCGTCTCGCAATCGGTAGAGATTTATAGTCCTTTATTTGATGGAGGCGATCTTCTCACGAGTACAAGGTCAAGCCGCTTAATGACAGTTTTTCACAAGGTGGTCCTCATTCGCCGATTAGATCCCGTCCAACGTTCTCACGAATCAGGACGAATCGCCTTAATGGCTGTTTCATTTCACGTAACCCTAGGTCCGGTTATCGACAGCTTGGTGATTCGTGGTTGAGCCTGGATACTCTTCAAAGACACAGAAAAGCCGAATCTCCTGGCCCACAGCTACTAGTTGTCTTTGAAGACAACTAGTAGCTGTGGGTCAGGAGATTCGGGTTTTTCATCACGTGCTTATGGAATTTTTAGGAAGGAGGCTGGCATATGGTCATTGAAAGGGCATTCAACAAAAGGGAACCACACAACGGCGACCATGCTCCGTCATGTCTGCTCGTCTGTGCACTCTCAGTGAAAGAACTAGAGGCGTACATACCCTTTTTAGGATTTGAAAAGACCTGAGAGGACAGGGCAAAACAAGCAAGCACCACCCGGCATAGTCGTGCCGTGCGCCGTCCGCGCCTGACCCTCCCCCTGGTCACTCGACTCACCTTCCTCTAGGCATTTATAGAAAAAGTAGAAGACAGGAAGGTGAGTCACTCACCACTGCAATCGTGAGGAAAGGTACGGCAATCGATTATCGTGCACAATCAACTGTCACTGGTTCTTCATGTAAGTGTTCGCGCGAGAGAAAACCGTACCTCGAACCCTCACTTTTTCTGCTGCACTACAAGTTGAGGTCCCAGCACTGCTTTCACCAACTCTGTTGGCTGAAACACAAACGGGACTCTACTTTGGCCACCGGAGAAGAGGTCGTATCTCGCCACGTTTTCCTGGTTTTTTTTCGTCTCACGCGGCTATGTTGCCCCTAGCTAACAGCGCTGCAAATCCTTTTGCTCCTGACAGTTGATAGAAGTTAAAGTCATGATCCCTGCAATTCAAGTTGAATAGGAAGCGTTTCAAGGGGCATGACCCGAACTACAGCCGGTACAGACCACATCTTCGGCCCCGTTGCTCTGCGGATCAAAGAATTACTAACTCACTAGTGAAAGCGCTCACAATCAAGTTCGTAGGAATCAATGACCAGTGTGTAACACCCACTTCTCCTTCAGACATCACTCGCATACGTTTGCGAGGTTGTCTGGCTGTAGTCCGGGCTTCGGTTGTGATTAGGGGTCCCCTTCCCCAGAAAAAACATCTTGGGGGGGGGGGACGGGAGGGGGGTTAAGGGAGTTGTTCATCGCGCAACATCTCCCCTCAACGTGTAGATGTGCCGAGGTGTTGTGCCAGGTATCGATCAAGTTTTGGATCGACCAAGATGGTTGATCCTCCTGCTATGCTCGTAAGATGGAATTTCTGCTAATCGCTCAAAGAGAGAATGGCAAATTCTTCAGTTTTGAACCACGAATGGGAAAAATGACTCAGGGAGATCACTGGGCTGTGTCGACAATCGAGCAATAGGTTCTAGTGTTACGTGAATCACGGAAGGGACTCAAAAATACCAAAACATCCACGATGCTAAGAGGAGCTGAAACAGACGGCGTGGCCCAGCGAGCAAAACCACCACTATAGTCGAAGTATAGTTTTTGGTTGTGTTAAGACTGTCGGAGAGGTTATTATGCACCTCCGATGCTTTTGCTCTAACCAACGGTGACAGGAAATGATCGTGATTCAAAGACCTATGGCAACGATGGTTTCCTACTTCGCCTAATGCTTGGAGCGCCTGCATAGTGGGGGAATATGACGAAAGAAAACGGAGTGGTAACAAGGTCGAAACTCTCTGGCGGGAAGTTAAAAGCCTCCCATTCTGAGTGGACTTGTTACTTGCGACGTTTTCGACGAGTTTCACCGTAGGCGATCTTATACCAACTCCAGCCACTTACCCTAAGATATGAACTGCATGATGTACCCATGTAATGCAATGCAGCACGTATCACGGCCCTCTATAAATACCAATCCTTCGCTTCATAATATACTTTATAAATGAATGAATACGGAGCGTCAGGAACGGTCGTCCATTTGTGGGCGGGCGTGGCGGGCGTTCTGGAACGTAAAGTTGGATAGGGCCCTTATAAGCCCCTTTCCTTGGGGAAACTGGCTGTGCAGCGCCTACCCAGGTTCGCGGAATTCTCATCCTGCCAGGAGTATTGATCCTAGTCGCCTTGGGGGATTTATCGTGCCAACTGCCTTTAAGAAGAAAACAACCAGCGGTGGGAACGTCGTGAGTGGGCTCGTTGCATTCCTCTTGAAACGCCTCGTTTGATTGCGATGTTACCAACTGTGTTGTGTGGCGCGATGCCACTGTTGTGGAACTGACTGAACCACGCGTGGTGGGGCCGCCCGTGGCGCACAACGCTGTGTTCCGCAGTCGAAACAACTACGTCCGAACCTCAAAAATTGCTGGACGTGCCCCTCGAACTGGATGACTTGGGAGCATGCGCCCAAGGTTCGAGAAGGCGCAAGTACCAGAGACACCTCATGGCTCCTTGTTAAGCCCCGGACATACCTGAAAGTGGCTGTCAATAGGACCATCGAGGGCAATGAGTGAGTGTTTTTTAATTAAAATGAAAATGATGGGGCTGCGACCTGATGTAGGAAGTCATTCATTGGGATCCGGATGAAGTTGGCCATGACCCTGGAGTGCGCGTTTTTGGTAACGTGCAGGCCACGTTAAAGGCACGGTCCGCGATCAGGTATCGAAGTTGAAAATATGGCGTCAGGAGGTTAGAGTGGTCCGCGACGAACAACCTTGTACCGGTTTCGCGGCAAAAAATTCTATGGGAGGGGCGCTGTAGCGCAATATAGGCTCAGTGGCTCCTCCTTTTTTTTCCCAGTGACTCCGCCTCCAGACTCCGCCCCTAGTGACCAACTTCCAGTGAAAAATGAGATTGCAGGATGAAAAGCATGATAATCGCCACTTGTACGATCGTAGAAATCTTATCGGTGAATCAGCCGTGCATATGAGTGCGTAGTTTTGGAGATAGAGCTGATTGGGCACGTACAAAATGGGTCGAAATGAGATTCTATCAAGGGCAGGTGGCGTGTTTTTTTGTGCTTTTTTTTGTTCACAGTCGAGTTACTCACCCCTTGTTGTCTATATGGAACCCCCTAATCCACCATCTGAGATGGCGAGTAATCGCGGTTCTTCCTTTAACTGCAAAACAGTTGTGTCATTTGGCAACGTCTCAGCTGGCATTACGGCCTTGCCATAAGTCAAGAAGAAGGAACGAATTCATGCTGACGTCTATCTCCAGTACGATAAACTTGACCCATTCGCAGAGAATTCTTTGGTGCAGTCCGGGTTGGGAGGGATGGGATCGAGAAGTGGAGGGCATTTTGCACTTTCGCTACATCCCATCAACATCCCATTACTTTACAAAAAATTGATAGGTATTCGTCACAAGAGTTGACAGGTGGCTTCCTCAGACTTTGGTTGGTATCGATTCCTGGCTCCACAAGATTCCACAGATCTCCGCTTGATGGCTCAGTACGTTGATAAGTAGCGGACGTGCAAAACGCTCCCTCCCCCCAAGCTGAACAGTGCTACTTTTTGTACTGATTCATGACTAGGTATCATTTACTTGCAACGAGCATGCAGTTCCACACAGTACCACATTGAGAGCGCACTTTGCAATTCATTTCGAGATTCCATTGAGAACCGTTGTTATGGTGCTGATCAAAACTTTCTCCAGTGATAAGTGATTGAAGGAATCGAGAAAACGAGCGATGAGGCTGAACGCGGACACAGTAACCAGTTAGCGTCACGACAATGCTGTTCGACGGGGGTCAGGCGGCGGCTACAAAAGGCGGCCGCTAGTCGATCAACTCGCTCCAGAACCCTCTCTACGCCACGGGATGAGCGTCTCGAAAGCGACAGCGGGTGCGCTGTGTTTTTCCACCTTCACTTTACTCGTCTCACTCTATTCTATCTATAACATCTATAATGATGTTCGCGGTATTTGGATGCAACTCGACGAACAAATGGTAGAATTCAAAGTGAGTTGTTGCCTTTCTACCGTAGTTCACTCAGGACCACCTACTGACACTTTCGACATTAATGGAATTTGCCAAAACTACCCGAACTCGGACCATAACCTGGGTATATCTATGGGACCACCATGAAATTGGGTCTAGGACAATCCAAAGTCATTGAACCAGGGGAATGGATAAGTCAGGAGATTTGCGGCTTTCTGCATAAGGGACCTCTTGAGTTGAATTTGGGGGCGGCTGTGGTTGGTATCATTGAGTAGGGCCACCTTTCTGGAAGAGTTTATCAGGAGTCGCAGAAGGGGCAGGGTTATCAAATGTCACAGTAGACTTCAACCTTGAAGAGTTGAGTACCTAACTCTCATGTTGACCCTTATAAACCTCCTTCATCCATCTCCCTTAGCTCTTTCACCCACCCCTTTACCTTTACTCCGCCGATGAAGTACTACGCAAGGGTAGCCAGTGTCGTTAAAAGCCTTGGTGCCTCCGTCGCCTTCTCGTCACCACCGTTGAGGGCGTATCCGCTCCCTAGAGGGGGGACGCGCTGAGGGAATCCCCCCACACTCCCATTATGAACCCTGCCTGCTAATGTACCAAATGATGCTTGATTACTCTGAATGTATTGACAGTGGTACCCTTCAGGTCCAAACCGATGATATCTGGACACAAATGCTTGGCCTTGGCGCTGCCACGCCATCCACTCGTCAACGACGTCAAGGCAAAGATCAATACGGAGCCTATGAGGCACAAGGAGTGAACGCCGGCCCAGTCTGCGGTAAGAGGCCTTATCCTTTTTTGTGTAGGATAGCTTGTGGGACCAAAGATGACTTTCCGGGGCTATGGATTATGGGTCATGTCACGCATAAAATGAATTCCTGCAAAGTAGGCTTGAATGACGCATCCTAATTGGGTATTTTGGCGCGGTTCGGCTTGGTGAGGGCAGCAAACGGTTCCTAGGAGCGCTGTTTCAGGATACCTTGTGGAGACTTGTGAATTCCTGTCACCAAAAGGCTCACTTACACAAGTACACAAGTTCACAGGAGTTTACAGGTCTCACCAAAGTGAACTGGTAACTTAACAAGGAATCAATCAAGAGTCCAAAATGCCCCTTCCAAACAGAACAACGCCGGGCATTCTCTCCTCATATAAAGATGTCGGCCATTACGAAATTGTAGTACAAATGGGATCCTCTGATCCGTAAAAGTACAAATTTAACATGCTGACGAT